GACATATTGTCAGGAGGGACCAGTCGCTGAAGAAGGATATCATGTTAGGTAGGGTGGAGGGTCAGAGATAAAGAGGAAGACCCCCAACGAGATGGATTGGCCAAGTGGCAGCATCAATGGACTCAAGCATGGCAATGATAGTGAGGCTGGTCCAGGTTCCGGCAGTGTTTTGTTCTGCTGTGCATAAGGTCACTATGAATCGGTACCGACTCCATGGCAACTAACAACAACAACAAGAACAACAACATAAAATTTGGAACAATAACACTAGTAAGGTGTGTACACATTATAATAATCAACCATTTGAAATCAAAATGGTAGCATTTACACAAAGATAAGTTCAGAAGGGTTAAGAAAGAAGTTGGAACAGAGACAGGAAATATAGAGGAAGTGGGATAAGTTCATTTCATTATGGGGATTGCAGTCATTGAAATGAAACAAAATATGTATGGATTGTTGAATGGAACACTGATCTACTCAGTAAATAATCACCCAATTCACAATAAAAAGTTAAAACACACACACACACACACAATATTGCCACTGAAAGAGATGCTGACTCTTAGTGACCCTACTGGACAGAGTAGCATTGCCTCAAAGGGTTTTCAAGGTGGAAGTCTTTATGGAAACAGACTGCCACATTTTTCTCCTGTGGGGCAACTGGTAAGTTCAAATTGCCAACCTTTGGTTAGCAACGGAGCACTATTACTATTGCACCAACCACTATGTCTCCTTGCTGTTACTGTTGTTATGTGCCGTGGAGTCGGTTCCGACTCATAGTGACCCTGTAAGGGGTTTCTGAGGCTGTAAATCTTTATGGGAGCAGAATGCCTCATCTTTGTCCCATGGAACAGCTGGTAGTTTCGAACTGCTGACCTTGAGGTTCGCAGCCCAATTCTCAATCACTACGATACCAGAGCTCCTTAGCTCATTGATAATATATAAAATTGAATAATACTAATACCTTGACAGTAAATGCCATCGTTAGGTTTGAATTGTGAATTTCCTGTAGGTGTCTGATAACCTTCATCACAGAAGCAGTTATACCCACCATCCACGTTTTCACATACCGCATGATCTCCACAGATAACTGATTCATTGCACTCATCTATATCTGGGAATATATAAAAATTTAAAATTCAGTGCTCATATA